TGTTTGCGTGCTCGGGGGGCTCTAACGGGGCTTCTCTTGTTGGTTTTGTTGGCGGTGTCGTTGCTTTTCCCCTAGAACTGAAGCTTGCTGGATTCCTCGCGGCCCGTGGGGAAATGGAGGTATAGGCTTTAGAGACCTGTGACCGGAGCGCGCCCAACAACAGCAGATCTACAACCACAGGAGAAGTGTTTGGGAAAGCCTGGCCGCTTTCTGGTGTCGTGTTAGACCTAAGGCTGTTTGTTGCCTCCCAATGGTCGCAAACTTCGAGAGAAATTGAAGGCTTCTTAAGATCCTTGGGTTTAGCTGCATGGAGACTATTCTGTCATGCCAAAGATGCTCAGGTTTGTCTATCGATTGGCCTTCTAACTTGGTACTCAGTGGCCTACAGAAAGGTGATGAATTGATTGCAAGCGATTTGCATGTAGCCTTAGCCAGGGTCCTGGCAAATTTTGAAAATAGGGAGTGATGTTTCTCACACCAAGGGTCGTAAGAGCACTCCGGTATTGGGCATCCTAGAATTTTTCAAGAATGGTCTATGCAATCTTTTTTGTTGTCCAGGGTGTGAACGTAGCAACTTAATTTTGAACTGAAACTTCAGAAAGAAGTGTAGAAAAGAAAAATCCGTTCTTCCCAGCACAGTCCCAGAGGAGTTAGCCTTATGATTTTTTTTTTTTAATGAAACAGGCTTCCTCACAGATGACAAGTTTGATGAGGTAACCAAGCAACATGTTAAGTAATGAGAATAAAAGCTTGCTACATATGCAATGTACTTTCAGTACTTACAGCACAATCAGACATCCCTTTTGTTCAGTCAGATGATATTCATATCCAGTTATATTCAAATAGAGCAAGAATTTCTCTTGACAATTCTAGTAACTTGACCTGTGCAAACAGAGCAAGGAGCAAATATCTCTTCTGCTATGGAAAGCACATAAATCGTAGGCTGCAATATGATAAGTGATACGCATTTTTAAAGGAGCAAAATTGTAACCTGATAGAAGTTAGTATTTTGCGCACGCGTGTGTGTATATAATATAAAAGCTAGTATTTTCTAACTATGGCCTTATTTTTATTATGCTCACGGTGAACACGTGGAAAAGCTTCTTACGTTCTTCAGTGGAGGGTGTCAAAGCCAAAGCCCAATCTACCCCGGATGTGTTGGCACGGTGGAGGTGCTGGCACAGGTGGAGGATTCTTCCACCTTCAAGCTGAGGGGCAGCTCGGTTATCCCAGCAGTAGCCAGCGGATGATCACGTTTCCCTACTTCTGTAGTAAGAAGCCTGCCACAAGGGAGAGGAGGGCTGGGAATAAAGAAATAAAGGAATGAGACATTAAGTGAGCCAGGAAGATACAGGGAGATTTAGGGAGAATACAATTTCCTTAATTTAATGGTGTTTCTTGGTTGAGTTTTAAGAAGAAGGTATTACTTTTGTCATTCTCAGCAGTTGTTGCAGCATATGGTGTCATAGTTGATTCATTCTGAAGCAGCACAAAAAAATAAAAAAAGAGGAAGGAAGAAAAAAAAAAAAAGAAACGTGATTTCCAAACCATCTCTCTTTGTAGGTCTTTCAGCTTGACAAATATATGGAATATCTTGTAAGAAGCACATGGCCTTACAGAAACCTGAATTTCTTCTGCATAAATTAATGTTCTATGTTGTACCAAAATATTTATAGATTTTGAAAAGTAAAGAGATAAAAGCAGCAGTGATATTCTTGGAAACAAACCAATCATATTTTCTGTCAGAGGGAATGCAGTACATTATCCAACTTGCAAGTGTGAGACCTTTTGGAGGGATGTATATTGTCAGAACAAAGTGCCTTTGAGTCATTAAAAAGTACATATGTGAAATTGTCCTACAGTTGTAATTTTAAACAAGAGATTTGTTGGCAAGCTGCAGTGAATGCTGGAGCTGTCTCTGAGGCACACACATGCAATTGGCATGGCTGTCAGAGCTAATAAAAAAGGAAGTAACCAGTCAAGGAGGTGCAGAAGAAGTAAGAATGATTCTGCTGAGGAAAAACCCCACAATTAAAATCAGACTAAAGATGCTTCCAAAGAACACTGGTTATCTGGGCAGACACAAGAAAGATATGAGGAAGGATAAAGTTATTTCTGGGACAGAGACACCAGGAATTTTTTCAAAAGATTTGAAAGAGAGAAAACCTGTTTCTTTTGCTGAAGTACAGGGCAATGTTCAAGAATGGGGTGTTAGATTTTTTTAGATATTTTCAAAGCTCTTTTCTGGTTATAATCACTCCACATATGCCTGACATCTTTCCCTTCTTCGGAGCTATCATCAGTAATCCTTCTATACCAAACCAAATCTTTAAGAAGAGCTTCAGACCCACTAGAAAGCTGTCCCTTTGCTTGTTGATACAAGGTTCTTTACAGGACAGCCAGTAACATATTTTTTAAGAATTCAGTAGCACATTTTGAACTTGGTCCAGAGCAAAGAACAGACAGGATGACGTAGATGTGTAGCAGAACTAATGGAGCAGTATGCAATTGTCTGCATCTGCATACAGCCAGTGAGGTTTAAAGAAATATGGAGGAAGAAAGGTATAATTTCTGCCTGTTAATTGCCATATTACTGGGCAATCTCAGCTGCTGCTGAAGAAAGTATGGGTAAAACTAAAGAAGAAATTAAGATAACTTGAAGAAAATTTTTAAGTACTGGAAGATCTTGAAGTAAAAAAGAGAGACAAAACTGTATGGTGCAACAAAGTGAATTGCAGCAAATAATCAAATACAGTACTGGAGATATTTGACCGAGACATATGTTTGAAGTCAGAAAACAGAACTGAGAGGCGACTAACTACACATGGATTGGATTTAATAGTTTCTCTAGATAATGCATTTTTTGCGCTAGCTTATACCTAACTGTGGAGCTGTTAAAAACTTGCTTAAAACCAATTCTGAATGGATAAATAATAAAGTAAAGGAGCATGCTTATGAGGATTTAAAATATTTATTGACCTTATACGCAGTACTGGCATTTCCAAGTCTTCTGCTATTCCAGAAGGTATCAGCTGTGTTTAGTGATATAATATTCTAGCAATTAAGAGAAGATTTGAGTCTCATACGGTTAAAGGTAGCTTTTGGGCTCCAAGCATAATTTTGTCCACCAAAGAAAGCAAACGTGATCAGAAAATGCATAGGAATATCTGAGGATCAGAAGATATTTGTGGCCTCTTGGTAAGTTCAAAATCTCAGCTGACCACAAACCATTTCAAGGCTTACACATGTTTTTCCTTGGACATAAATGCTTCCTTGTTTTTGCTGTAATATTGAAAACTTGACATGAAACATGTTCAAGAGAATTTAACAGTAATAAGTAATATCTTGCTGAAGAACCCCATTTGATCCCCAAGATTAAAATCTTGGGATGATTCAGAGATTAATGTAGATGGCATTTTTTGTCTTGGTAGCTTCATTGCAGGGAATTGCTTAGAGCACTAAGAAAACCAGACCTGTTTAATAGCTCAAAGCATAAATATAGATGGTATCTACATGTAAGAAACATGTGAGATATTGAATTAAAAGTTCTATTACTTACCAGGAGTTGCATATCCAACCTGTGGGGTTTTTTCATTAAGTGAGAGGAAAACTTGATGAGTGTGAAGATAATCGTATTCTTACAACATAATCGTCACAAAGGAAAATGTAGTGTGAAGAATACAGGAGCTACCAAGACCTCAAAAATCCTTGGGGTACATTTAAAAAGACATCGTTAGTGACAAAAGCCTATAGTTCGATGGCTCTAAGTCTCAGAGCTGAAGACACAGTACACTTTCACACATACCAGCTCTAACTCCTGTTGTGCACAAGACCTGACTGATAGGCACAGCAGTACTCATCACCAGGAGAAATCCATCATGAAAGACCCCGTATTAGCCCTCCTGAGCTGTACAGAAACTCATTTATCAGCTAGCCCTGTTGGTGAATCTGCAATGGGTTCTGGAAGGGATTATGACATGACACAAGTAGCAATGGTTTCCTCACTGAAGCTCCATGAAGAAAGTCAAAGTGGTGCAAAATGTCCTTCTCAATACATATGTGTTTGGATTTGACAGCCTGTTATCAGTCAGCTGGGCAAAGCATGGTAAAACAAAGAACTGTTCAATCAAGTTGCTTCCAAAGCACATTTGGTTTGGTATTAACCCTGCTAATAAGAAGGTTGATGCAGAATTTTCTTTATGGAATAGTTTGGTAGGATTGATGTGAACATCAATGCTCTGATTTTTTAAAATTGTAAGAGTAATTTTCATCTTAATAATCTCACTAATTTCAAAAGAAGCCCCTATGTTCATATCTCAGCAAGTCATTATTTTCTGTGAATCTTTATGGGGTAACATGACATAACATATATAAAATATTTATGCATGCAGCAGATACATCTCAAGGCCATCCTTGCAGATTTGAGTTTAAGAATTATACATGCAAATACTGTGCAACTAAATGCCTTCAATTGTAAAAAATATAAGGAACTAGATCAATTTAGAACAGCTAAGTCTTATTTAGTTCAAATGTTTGCTTTTTAATATCTTCAAGCAGTTTTTAAGCAGCAAAATATAGGCAATCCTTTAGATAAGAAGGAGAATTGAAGAGAACAACAAACTGTTTTATGTTGTCACTGGGGTGGACAATAGTCACCAAAAGAACTTGGAAGCTCATGTCATCCCATAACTGTCTGTGGAATCACTTGCTTGGAAGAAATGGGTAGGAAATCCCACTGTAAGCAGATGTGGGATTAATATTTTGTTGCAATCCTCAAGAGAGATTATTTAAAACTCTGAAGTGTTTTGCTTAATATTTCTTTCAAAACTCTTAACATTTAACAGTCTTTTATAAATGTTGCTCATATAATTTCCCATAATTCCTTTTAAAATCTCACTAAATTCCTACTCAAATGTAATTGGTGGAATTTATATGAATGCATTTGTGTGTCAGTTGTATAAATTTCCATGAAATCTATTCATCATCATCATCAGTCATCACCTTCCTCATCCATTTTTCCAGGATCACAATGCTGGCTAGATATACCAGTGTGTTCAGGACCCCTGTGTGTTAGGAGAGCTTCTGGGTAGTCTCTGTAATGTGTGGCTCTGAGTGAAAAACAAGCTCTTTTCCAAAGGCCTCGCAAATTGAAAAACAATGTATAGCAAGTCTGTAAGGCTGGCAGAACAACAGAATATTCTAGTGTAATTTATCAGTGTGCCCAAATCATAGATGTACTATGCAAATTAGTAGAAGCAATCAAAGAAATTGCATCTTGCACAGCTGCAGGATTGGGTCTTACACGGGAACTTCCCTCAAAGGTGCTGAGTGCCCTCAGCTCCCACTAACCGCTAATGTGGGCTGAGGGTACTAGGAAGAACTTGTCCCATTTTGAATCAAGCCCTTTGATAGCTTCAAGAAAATCTCTGATTATAATAATTTGTTTTATAATGTGTCACTCTACACTTATGAAAAATGAGTATACTTGCTATAATTCAAGTATTCTACAGATACTTAGCTGTACTAAAAGTGTGCTAAGTATACTAAAAATATATTACTTTTCATAAGGGTATAATTTCCTAGTAATCAGAAGATATACTCTGATTCAAAAATTGCTATAATTGTTAATGTTGGTGAGAATTACTAAGGCATCAAAGCAGAGGCATATTTGTGGCATAAAGCTGCAGATAGGTAGTTGAGATCATCAGTGTTTAAACCATAAGTGACGCACCTGCTGAAGAGATTCACTAAGGTAATGCTGCAGTGTGCCAGATGGCCAGTTTTACACTTCAGGGCAGCTTTATCGTTGGGTTGCCTAGTTCAAAAAACCTTTCACCAGTGCAACTGAGAGTTGCCTTTTCCAGAAATTGCAGTATTAATTACTATTAGTTTAAAAGCTTCATTCAGTTCATTTTTGTTTAGTCCCCACAATCTGTCTTGAGAGTCCTTAGTGTTATCATTACTTCTTAATAGTTAAGGTGTTTGTAACACAGTGCGGAAGAAGGTACCAGAGCAGGCAAGGGCCCAAATGAAAGACAGACTGGAAGGCAGCAAAGAAGACATGTTGGGGATGTGGTCACTGTACATGAAGGGATGAGAAAAAAGCAAGCAACCACAGTTAAAAAAGCAAGAGTTGTTGGAAATAAAGAAGAGGGCAAAGGAAGGGTGATGAGCAAGAAACAAACAAAAATAATTAAAAGACAAGGAGGAACTAGGTGCAAGGAAAAAAAAATGAAATTTCTTGATGATGGAGCATTTTGGCTCTGGTCAAAAAAGAAGTAATGAGGTATAGGATGAAACG